GGGGACGGGGGCTCAGCCCTGCAGAGAGTGAAATGGGGCAGACGTGGCCTGGGGACGCTAGTACCCCTTGCAAGAGAGTGCTGAGATAGGCACAAAATGGCCTTTCCCTGCCCTGACCAGGGGACTGGCACCCCACCAGGTCTGTTCAGGGGACCAGGATATCGTGGGCTCCATCCCAGCATGCAGTGGTTATGTTGCTTCAGGCCTGGGAGCTGTTTTTCCTGTGGTAATGGAGGGTTTTATGGACCCAGAGCAACAAGCGAGACACTGATCATTAACTTTTACACAGGGTGTAAAGTACAGCAGAGAAAAATAGCAGAGAGGCAAACCCAGCAGGGCTGGTCTCAGAGGAATGGAGCTGTCCCCAAGTCCTCCCGCCCCCTCGAAGTATGGCTCTGTATATCACACTGGAGCTGGAGGAGGCCCTGTGAGCCGGGCTGCTGGCTCTGCACGGCCTCCCGCAGCAACAAGGCTCGGCACGGCACCACCAGCCTCCTCACAACCTCTCTAAGGGCTGCAGCACCCAGGCATGGCTTGACTCACTCACCCTCTGGCACACGGACCCATCGCGAGGCCTTGGCCCAGCCCAGGAGCCCAGGTGGCCTCCAGCTCCTGGGTCTGGTGGTGCCAGGAGCTCCCCTGCCCTTCCACGGCTACTAGTGCTGAGCTGAAGAGCCCCCAGCAGTAGGGAGAGCCATGGCTGAGCGTGAGCCGCGTTGCGCAGCAAGGTTTGTGGGAGCTGCTCTGAAGCCCTTCAGCTGGAAAGCTGCACACGATTCCTCTCCCAGCACACACAGGGCCAGACTTGGGGATGTGCCTGTTCTGGGAGGGCTGGTGATATATTCCTGGTAATAATGCTAATAGGGACTGTATGGCCTGCCGTCTGCCAAACTGTGAGTTAGCTCTATAATTAAAGGATTAACATTAGCTTCAACAATACTGTTAATTTGCTCAGGAACTTGGATCCCCAAGGCCTTCGTGCTAGTCTGGCCCTGTGGGAAGGGGTGATGAGTCCGTGATACAGGTCTCAGACACGTTCCCACATTTCCTTGCCCAGCCAGCCTGGGGTGGCTGGGGCTTCACCCCACTGTGTGGTGTGTGCTTGGCCATGCATCCTGGCATGTGGAGCCTGGGCCAGCAACTGTGGTCCCTGGACAGTAGGGTATGGAGGCAGTGGGGGGAGAGCGAGAGCCCACTGGCTGCTTTGTAAGACTGGCCTGATGTGCCATGGCAGGGGTCCCAGTGCCCTGCTGCCCAAGGGCACAGTAGCTCCTTGCCAATAGGTCCCATCCCTCTGCTAGCCCCCACTAGCCCAGCCTGGCCACCCCTTGCCCATCTCCAGCATGGAGACCTCAGCTCCCACACCAGCCCTTCCACATGGTCCTGAGGGCAGCCAGGAATCCCCTTTCCAAAGCTCTGATCTTGCTGCAAGGCAAGCATGAAGCTAAGACAGGCTGTGATTTATATCAAGTCCTTTTATTCTGTTCCCACAGAAATACCTGGTAGGGGCAACTTCTTGTACGGAGTCACAATACAGCGGCGGTACACGGATTACTACAGATCTCACAGAGCACAGCAGACACGCACACCGTCACAATGTTCAGAGGGAGGGCAGCCGGCATTGCACTTACCACTGTAAACTTCTTCTTGGGCTGAGCTTTGCTTGGTGGTTTGTATTTTATACATACAGTCCCCGCCGGACCCAAGCGAACACCCAGACACAGTGTGTGGGCGGGCGATGGGTAGCAGACAGCCACAATTTGGGGGATGCCGGGAGGCTTTGTGCCAGAGGGGGGCTGAGGCTGGCGGTGGGGCTGCGGGCAACCGCTCCTGTCCCGCATGGAGGCGAGTTGGCGGATGTGCTAGGCAGTGAGATGGGCCCTGGTGGGGGGATGTTCTCAGTCCCACGTGCGATTTACACACTATACAAGTATTTACAGCGCTAGGAGCGGCAGGGGCTGTGGTTGAGACCCCCGGCAGGGAGCGGGGCAGACCTGGAGCCCAGGAGAAGTATCCTCAGGCTATGCACTTGTCATTGGCAGGGCAGCTGGCACTGGGCGGGCTGGGGATGCTGCAAGCAGAGCCATGGTGGCTGCCTGGCTGGCAGAGTCGTGCGGCAGGCTGGCAGACCCCAAAAGAGACCTGCTATGGGTGGGGGGGCTCTACCCCCTGGGCAGAACTGGGCATTACCCCCGAGGGCACCCTGTCCCACAGCCCCTGCACTAGCAGCTGGGCCTCTCCCTCCAGCCTCACACTGTGGGTTGGTGTAGGCAGAGACTGCTACAAGGGGCCTGCTGCGGAGCTGTGGAAAGGCAGCCGCTTGCAGGGCTGGGGCATGGGGCAGGGAGTGAGTGGTCACAGGGCCAGGACTGGTTGCATGTCATACAGTGACCACCAGCTCCTCAATAACAAGTGCATAAATCTGCTAAGAGCATTCAATACAGGTGATGAACTGATGGAAAAAAAAAAAGAAAACTCCAGGCAAAGAACGGCAAGCATTTAACGTAGATGAAACCGTGCAGAGAAGTAGCAAGCCATGCTCTACGACAGGACAGACAGTCACGGGCTATATGGCTACCCTTTGGCAAAGTGGCCCTCCGTGGGTCGAACATGCCACTAACTGAAACTTCATATGCACAGGTGGTTGATAGAGTAGTTATCCAGTTGCTCAGCAGCACGTTTGCAATTAAACCCTTATACATAACATTGAACTTATTAACTATTAACAGGTCTTGTTCTTAAGTTGTGTATTTCATTGCATAGAACATTAGACATGAGAATTGGTCGCTGCTACCCGCGGGGGTGGGTCACACCAACAAACTGCTGTTGGAACATGCTCAGCGTGAGAGAGAGACTGGCAGGAAGCTGACGACACGCACAAATGAGAACCGGAGCGTCTGTACACTGGCTGAGTTCTTTACAGTGAAACGAGCTGTTTCGTTTGGTTTCCTTCTGTGATCCCACGGGCTCAGCCACAGGCTGAGAAACCTCCTCCTGGTGGGGTAAGCGAGCTTTTGCTCTGAGTCGCTTCTCCATCGTTCTGAGCATGCCCACGCGTAATGGCTTAAGAAGGACTTGAATTGCACAGTAATAGGAAGGATATTGGCAGAGGCAAAGCTCTCCTGATCTGTTCCATGGATTGTGCTCTTTTATAGCCTTCTGCACTCTATTGCTTCTACAGACAACAGCCCATGTGTTAACTCATTGTACAAAGCAAAGAGGAAAGAGGATTTGGTATAAAGTTAAAAAAAACAGAAAAAAACAACAAAAAAACCCCCACAAAACCCAAAGAAACCAAAGAAAACCAAAAAGGAAAACCCCCCAACAACGAAGCCCCGCGACCCCTCCCGGTGCAGATGAGGTATACACAGAAATCAAAGTGGGATGATTAAGGCTGTTCTTCAAAGAAAAAGGATCCCCAGGCGGCATGGAGCACTGTGTGCCGTTACAATGGAAAGCACTGCCGTTTGAATGCTTTAGAATGGCTTCAGGTTGGCTTTGCGTGCTGAGACACGTGCCTGGCCGGCGTTTGCTTTGGGAAAGGCCAGCCCGCTTACGTGCTGCCTTTCAGAGTCCTATGGCCTCTTATTTCAGTACTGAAACAGTGTTAGGTCCTAACTGAAGTTCTCCTAATCCCCGGTTTGGGGTTGGAGTGGTTTCCAGTGCAGGGGTGGCACGGGGAAGGGCCCCGTGCGCGCGAGGGACCGGTGGGACAAACTGGAATGTGAAGGAGAAACGGAGCCTGCAGCTCCCAGCCCTCAACTCACACATGGCTCAGAGAGGGAAAAACCTATGAAGACGCTAGAGTTCAGATTCAGAGGGAGCAACTCTGTGTATAATCTTGAGAAAGGGCCACGGTTTCCAACTCAGCCCCTCGGCATGAGGGGGCCCGGGGCAGGGTCAAGCCCCACCTACGTGATATGACGGTCTGGATCAGGCCCGTCCCTTTGTGGGCAGCCTCAGAGGTGGAAAGCACGTCTGCCCAACAGATCCTACGGCTCGCTCCACGCTGCGATGGAGCCGCTGCACAGGCTCTGCTTGCCAGGCGTGGAGGGCGTGTGCTCTGGGTCATCTGCCAGGCCCCCCGCTTCAGCCACTGTTTGCTCCATGAGATCCAGCATCCAGGGGATTGCCCTGCTTTCAAAAGCTTGCAAGAGACAGAGAGAGAGGCGTTAGCTGGAGTTTCATTTGCACCCCATGCAATGATGCTCTAGAGGAGCAAGAAGGGCGACCTGGTGCCCTGCTGCCCCGCAGTGATGCCGCAGGGCAGCATGTGCATGTGGTACCTGCCATCCCCCGCTCCACTGCCCCCAAGTTACTGCCCCCCCAACATGTCCTGTTGTCTTCCTTGAGATGCTTGCAGGGAACACATCCCCTCTCGCACAAAGCAAACAGGAGCAAACTAGTGGCAACAACCCAGGAGATGTTGCCGGAGGAGCAGCTGCCTCCACCTACGCGGCTGGACAAGCTCCCAGACCAGAACTCGTGAGCACCAGGAAATGGCTCAAGCCGCCCAAACTATCCCGGCAAAGCTGGTGTCTGCAGAAGTGTCTGGAACGGGATCAGCCCACATAGTGCTGCAGAGACTGAGGAAATGGGGCCAAGTCTCCCTGCTCGCTGGCTCTGGGCCGACATGCGCAGGCGTTTTGTGACAAGAACAGGTGACCAAGTATGAGGACAAGCACCCCAGGGCGAAGGGGAGAGGGCTGCACCATGTCCCACGAGGCTGCCAAGGTTTTGCTAGTTGTGCTTGGCAACAGGGTGCTTATGCCACCTTCCTTTTCTCTCCTTCTGCACCTAGTGCCAGGGCGCTGCTATCTCCTGGGACATGCAGCACCAGTTCCCTGCTCATCGCCCCCAGCTCTAGGCCTGTCCAGCCCTCCTGCTACCCTCAGCCCCTCCTGGCATTGTGCGTGCCACCCTGAATCAGCTACTGTCCCAAAGACCCTGCTGGGCTCCTGTCCCAAATACACCCAATCCCCCCTGCATGCAGAGCAGGTCCCTCTGGCCCTTCCCTGCAGCCTGCGCTCCACCGTGAGATGAGCTGGGCTCTTGCGGTCCCAGTGAACACCTCTTCTTGCCATCCTGACCACAGCAGGGTGGGAGAGAGCTGGTGGCCAGGCAGACTGGGAGTGTGGCAGGGCACAGAAGATGTAGGGCACTGCACTGCAGCACAAGGGACAGTGGCAGAGTGCAGCGTGCACCTCATGGGGAGAAGGATGCTGTGGGTGCCCTTGGGGGACTAGTGGGGTGTGAGGGAAACCAGCATGCCTGGCTCTGCCCCGGGACACTCACTGTTATACTCAGAGTCCAGCGCTGCATGCTGAATTCACTGGGTTCTTCATAGGTTTTTCCACTGCAATGACTAGATCTCCACTCGCTTCCCAAACTCCTGCGGTGGGAGGCAGCAGGAGGAGCTGTTAGAGCAAAGCCAGGGCAGGGAGAAATCAGGGCATCCTTACCACTGCCCACCCAAGGAGACACCAGCACCCACTGCCCCGCTGCTGGGAACACTTGTGGTATCCTGCAGCAGAGCATAGAGGGCTGGGAGGGGAGAGTGGGGCTGCTGTGGGACGACCAACTCACCTTGTGCCGTTCTTTCACCAGAACGAAGTGAATTTCTTGCCGAAAGCTGACACCGCTGCAGAGAAGCCAGAAGAGATGTGAGCACTCCTGCTGGAGCCTGCCCATGTCCCGCTTCCTCTCCCTCTCCCTCTCCCCAGCCACCAGGCTCCCCACCATCTGGACAATCCCCCCCAAATCAGTACCGGCTCTCTGCGTGTCCTGGCCAGGTTGTGCCTTGCAGGTATCCCTCCCACCTGACATATGCGTGATGGTTGCCGTTAGAGTGCTGGGGGAGGCCGGGGAGGATCTGCGCATGCTGTAGCTCAGGCAGTCGCCATGGTGTGGGCAGCAGCCTGTGCACAAGTCTCCCCTCTGCTGCAGGCATTCAGGGCCGATAGGAGCTGAGAGAAGGAGCCCTATCCCCTCTCTGCCCCCTCTCCTGTGCCCTGCAGGATTACCTGGCCAACCTCCCTGACAGCTCCCACTGCTCCTGTCCTGATTGTTACCAGAAGTTTAATTATTCTTCTCATTGTCACATTAGTTTTGCAGCATCCTACTCAGAGCTGGAGTGATTTTGCCACTCGCGTGCCCCTGCAGCGGGCCAGTCTCCATGTGCAGATGAGACTGAAGTTTTCAAAGGGCCAAAGCAGGCTCAGAGAGAGCCTGGCCAGACCGCACAGGACAGCCCTGGGGGATACTGCCATGCCCTGTGGGGGGCATGCCCTCCTGACCTCAGTGTGCTGCAGTCCCCTTGCCCCACCCCACGTCCCCAGCTGGGTGTGGGGGGACAGTACAGCATGCCTTTGCCCCACCCCCAAACCGTGGGAGCAGCTCATCCCTTTAGCTCCGAGCAAGTTCCTCCTGTGGCGGAAGGGCGGCACTTACCTTCAGTCAGTTTGCCTGCTTGTTCTGCTGCCCCTCCTGGCAGGATTTTGGAGAAAACACTCTCTCCTTCCATCCCAGGCTGCCCAGCTGCCGTGCTGGCAGGAGGACGTGGCCCAACTGCTTTCTGACCAACCTTGCTGTCTGCTGGGGAAAAACAAACATGTCATTAGCAGAGGAAGGGCCTGGATAGCTGAGGAAAGCTGTCTGCCCAGGTGAGGCTGGAGAGCAGATCCTCATGCCAAGGGTTAGGGGCTGCCAGGACTCAGGCCGGGCCATTTGCCCTGCGCCAGTGAGCAGGAGTTGGGGCAGGTCCCCATGAAACGCTGCCTGAGCAGGGAGCCTGGCAGCTTGTGGAGTGGCACTGAGCAGGGCATATGGTGGGTGCCAGCAAGGCACCACAGGGGGGCTGTGGCAGGCCCCCCTGGCGAGCCCAGAGAGACAGGGCACACCGGTTTGGCCCCAGCTCTGCTCCCAGATGGCAAAAACCAGCAACTGGGCTCCAGCCCCAGCTGGGGCAGCCTGACCCCCACGCCACCAGGCAGACTGACCTGCTGCTGCTCCCAGAGGCTGAGCCGCCGGCATTCTCCCCTGCTGCTGTGGCACTTTCGCTGTGGGCTTGGATGTGTCCATCTGCTCCGCTTTCAGCTGAAACACAGAAAACACCTTTCAGGGTCTCTCGGCCTTTCCCTCTGGATCCAGAGCCGGGGGAGGTGGCTGCGGGGATAGCAGAACAGCATCCTCCAGGGCGGTGGTGTGACAGGTGACATGAAGCTTGCTGAGATGATGCCTGAGCCTTGCTCCCTGGGGAAACCTCCCCTCCCCAAAATACTCTAGGGAAACTGGCCCCAAGCCTGCAAGCAGGGCAGGGCACAGCCAGATCATCTTTCCAGCTCTTCTCTGGGGTGCATCCAGCTGCCTGGGGCAGCTGTGGTCGCTCCAGCAAGCTGGGGCACATGTGTGGGATATAATTTGCCCTCTCAGTCCCCGTGGCTCCCACCCCAAAACTTTCCCCTGCCTCACTGCATTCCCTGTCCCACTGTCTTCTTCAGGCTTTGCTGAAGAGGAGAGCTGGGAAACACTAGCCTTGACCATGCCACGGTGCAGATGGGCAAAATTTGGGCAGGCTCCATCCCTCCCATCCGATCCCAGCCCCTGGCCTCGGCTCTGCCCTGCATTACCAGTGAGCTGGGATGGTCCTAAGAGCAGCCCTGGGGAAGGGAGGCAGCCAAGCCCAGCAGAGCCCATACTTACCGGCGTTGCTGGGTGACTGCCTGGTTGTGCATGAAGTGTGGCTGGGGGCTTCCCTGGAGCCTGGGCTGGGCTAGGCTGCTGCTGCGCTGGCCGGGAAGGAGGAGGTCCCTGCATCCTGCCCTTTGCCTCTGGCTGCAATGGTCCTGCCGGCTGCTGGGCAGTTGGCCGGGCTGATGGTGGCTCCTGTCGGGCCAGCGGCTGTGCTCCCTGCTGCTGCCGTGCTTGTGGCTGCTGCAGGTGAGGCTCTGCTTTTTGCCCTTGGGGCGGCGGCCCATGCGGCTGTGAGGGCTTTTGTGATTTCTGGGTCTCGGCGCTATGGTGGTGAGAGGCTGGGTGAGATTGCTGGGGGTACTCAGAGGAGCCGGGGCCGTAGGCTGCCTGCGCTCGGGGCTCGGGCTGCTGAGCCTTCTTCTGGGAAGCTGGCTGTGTGTGGCCACGGGACTCGTGGCGGCCTTGCTCCCGGGGGTGTTGCTTGGCCGACCGCCGGGGCTGCTCATCGCTGGTGTGGCGGGAGGAGGACGAATGCCGCCCGTACTCCCCGTGGTGCCGGTGCTCTCGGGAGGAGGAGTGCTGTGGCTGGGGGGAATCATCGTGCTGCCACAGGTCATCATCTGGAGGCTCATCATAATCGTGGTAGGTGTGTTTAACTGGGGGTCTCTTCTGTGAGGAAGCGTGGCCACCATAGTGCCTTACCCTCTCTGACCGTGCTTCCCTTGGCTTATCAAACCAGTCTGTCTCCTCCTGACCCAAATGATAGGCTTCAGAAACCAAAAACAAATCACAGTCAATCTCTCGCTCCACAGGCGTGAATGCAGCCCAGGCTGAAGCCATGCAATGAAATAAAAGAAGGCAAGCAGCTTATCACACACATACAGGACACCCCGCCACAGCACGACCAGACCCAACACCAGCAAGAGACAGGACGGGACATGGATACGGCAGGGCATTGAGCAAGCACTGACAGGACCTGCTAACACAAAACACCCAGGACAAAGACTGGAAAAGGGAGGAAGGCACATGTCAAGCAAACTGAGGCTGTGAGAGTGTCTTTGCTTATGACCATAGGAGCATGCCCCGGGGAATCACCATGCTCTGGGGTGGATCACCACAGGTAGCTGTTACCTTCGCTGTCTGAAACAACACAATGGGAATCGTCCATGATGTAACCTTCCTCGTGCTTGTAAGAGTGATTCCTTGGCACATCTTTGATATGTTCTTGCACATCAGGCAATGAGTGGCTGGAGCAGAACTGGGAGCAGGGGTCCCCCCCGGACTGTGGGCCAGGGCCACCAGAGGAGCGCGACACCCCCATGGACTTTCCCAAGGGGCTGATTGGGCTCTCTTCTTCCGAGGCCTGCGTGCGAACGGGAGTCCTCCCACGGCTCTGACTCATGCTAAGGGATGAAGGCTTGGAGCTGCCCTTCTGAGATCGCTCCGTGTTCTCCCTGTCATAAGACTTGCTCCGGTTGCTCACGTCACGGCTGGATGACTTTTCCATGCCATAGCCAGATGAGCGGGTCCTGCTTCCAGCAGAGTAGACTCGGTCCTCCTCATCCACCAAATCCCTGCTGGACATGCCATAGTACTTCTGC